TTGTTTAGCAATTGTGGGATCTGTAACATTTTCTTTGGGCTTGGTTGTATTGACTATGTAATTGGTTTTCTCATGTGCGAGCACGTAAGTGATTTTATGCTTCCAAATACGATAATTTATACTGTTCAATTTTTCTACCTTAAAAATATTCACATCTTCTGTACAAGCCATGAGAAAATTTAATAATACTAATAACTATTATAACTATGAGGAATGTTTAATGCAACACTGTATACAAGTAATAAAAATAATACTAAATACCACCACTACTTTATTTGAAAGTAAAAAATTAAAAATATTTATTATCTCTCTAGAAATCGACTAGAGTAATATTGATTCAAATATTCACGTCGATAAGCCTTCTTGTTGTTTGGAGAAGTGTGCTTTTCTTTTGGCTTGGCAAAAATAATCTGACTTCCAAAACTATTAAAGAATTGTGCAGTAGAACCTCCCCTTCCAAGTTCTCTAAAGATCCGTAGAGGTCACAACCCCTTAATTTTACGATTGAAATTTATCTCTGAAGTGACCAAATCTGGAATTGTGAAATTAACGCACCTGTAGAAAGAATGGCACTAATAACAAATTATCCAAGGTTTTAATAATAGTTTCTCTGACACATGAGCGTTTTGAACCAAAGACTCGCCTTCTTCAAATTTATCAAAAACTCAATTTTCAAACTGTAATTTGATAGCCCTCGTAAAATGGAGTTAGTGGCTGGATTGGGTTTGAACAGCGATTGGGCCTAAATAAGAGAGATTCATTGGACTTGAACTAAATCAGGATTGACTTCTTTACAACAAAAATGATGTAGTCTTTTTTAGGGTTCTTTGGAAGCCGGTACACTAAATTAGACATAATTATAAAAAAAAGTACACAGAATAAATGTGTTTGTAAATAAGTACATTGCTGAGATACAATGACTTAATTGCCATTTTCTAAAATTTACTTTCCTAAAAACGGTTTTAGGAATATATCTTTACATTAATTAGGTACACAGTGATAAAGCTTAGCCGCTGGATTTTAGGAACGTTACTTTCCTAAAAACGGTTTTAGGAATATATCTTAAAATTAATTAGATAAATAGTGATAAAGCTTAACCGCTAGATTTTAGGAACATTAATTCGTGAAAAGCTTTATTTTCAGAAAACGATTACCGTTTCTTCTTCCTATCCAAAAATTGTTTCATCTTCCTCAGCAAGAAGCCCTAAATTGTTCCCTAAATATCTACAAGGTTTCGTCTTTGAAAGGAAAGTCCTACTAGTCCGTCATTGTAGATATAAGTTCGTCTGTGTTTATCGCATAGTGTAACAAAGACTAATAATACAGTGTAACACTGTAACACAGACAGTGTTCAGTGATTTTGTGGATGCGGTAACAAATTCAAAATAGAGCTGGATTGTTACAATGAAATTATATGCAAATATATATTTGAAAAAATGTAACAATAAAGTGTTTTGTGTAAGTAAATTTTTACACTGTTATTATTACACTGTAAACACATATACAAAATGAACTTCGGTTATGGTGTTCACATATAAAAAAAAACAGTATAATCACCTTTAAAATGACGGACATAAGCTTAATGGAGTCATGAATTAATTCCTTATAATTTCTTAGATTAAATGATAAGGATGAAATAATATTTCGAACTTGCACTGATAAATTGCTTCCAAGCCGAAGATGAAGACAACAAATGATAATGTTGTAAAATTTAAAATTCAAACCAACTAATTTATTCTCCAAAAAAATGGAAGAATTAAATCTTTAATTAAATCAAGAGATATTTAATGCATACATATAATTTGAAAAAAAAAACAATTTCCAAAAATAATCGAATGATTTAAGGAAGGACACAAATGTCAAAGAAAAATCCAAAAATTTTAAATTATGTATTTGTACATAATTAAGGCTTAAAATTAAGGATTTTTTTATTTTACATTTTTTTCTGTGTATTTTTTTACAATTAATCCTAATTTAGTGTATCCCTTACAATTTACCGCTTTTTAAAATGGCTACGGTTGTCTTCTTCGATGAACCCACTAGCCGGCGAAAAGAAATTCTGGCAACTTACAAAATCCGACGAAGAGTTTTTTTTCTTTAATCCTTGGGTATTTTCACACAAAATTTTACCAGAATGATCCTTGCGCAATCCTCTTCAACGTAATCTCAACCAATATCGAAGATATTTAAGTTTTGAATTGCACAATTTTTTCGAAAAATCAGTATTCATAAAACCTTGCTCTGATGCTACTGATGATCCCAGACGTAATACAAACAATGGCAAAATATCATTAGATTCTTGATCACGTGCAATCAGAAAGAAAATAAATATAGCGACTCAATGATTTGACCGAAAGTTTTTATAAGCATTCAAGATGAAGTCTTCTATTATCAAAATTGTATTTATAGACTGTCTATGGTTACCAATAGAACCATTCAAACAGGAGACACAACATTTGACAAAGATTGTGTCCATTGTCAATCCAAACCACCACCAACGGCTGTAGCCGTTGTCTATCATAACAGACGCCAACCGCTTTCTCTAGTACCTGTACACGGGAAAATATCACCGGTTAATGTCCATGAGTTCACCGACTTACAAAAATGAAATGACATTTGTTACCCCAATACTTTCCCAATTTTTGCAGCCACAACAATCTTACAGTGACTTCTTCATCTGTTTACAAAAGATAATCAAGTCATTTCCAACATACTATCTAGGTTTAAGGTTTTTTAACGACTGTTCGGAGGCCTGACTAATCCTAAAGTATCTATTATAGAGACAATAATATGTTGTATATTATCTCTTTGGTTAATTTTCAGTTATTTGCACTCTGTAAAAATGTTAGTTTTTAAATATAAATATAGCCTTCATCGAGTCAATAGTGCGCAATAGGCATCGTCAGGGCATTTTCTTCTGGTACATGGCCATTGTGCAGGCTCGGAAGGAAATTTGGGATCTACAGGACCATGTCACTCCTCACTCTTTCCGTCAATGATTGGACCATGCAAGGTAGAAAAACTTTTTCTTGGATAAAGGGAGAAATTACTCGATCCATTTCCGTATCGCTCATGATATATAAAATAACTCAGACATTCATTTCAAGTGCATATCTTATTTTTGCGAGGCTTGAAATATTCCCAAAACACAAAAACGCGAGTTTTACACAACCAGGGAACACTTTATACATTATTTTGCTCAATAACAAGATTAGAAATCAACCGGTTATTAATTTTAAAGAAATTTCAGTATGTTTTGTAGTGCTCATTTGATATGGTTTTTCAATATAAGATACCACATATGATATCCGGGTTTGTATATTAATTGCTAGAGATGAGTTATATATACGGTGGGGAAAAAGTCAGTTTGTACTAAATTTAAGACTTAAATTCGATCCTTCTTAAATTAGAATTGGTCCCTAGATTTTTCTTCTCCTTCCTTTTGGATTCAAATTCTCTTCAATACTTTTTCTTACAATTTTCTTCAAAACTATCTATCATTTATTGACGAGAGAACCACTTATATGCAATTGATCCCACTTGAATTCACAATAGATAATTTAGCAAGAAAAAAATAAAAAATAAAAAAGTATTGAAAAAAGACTCATTCTCTTTCTTTTGGCCTTTTGCAATCTGTTACCATGACTTTTTAGGGTTTTTTTAAATAAAAATAAATGTAAGAGTACTTCCTTTAAAAATGGCGAAGAAATGGAGAATGGTACTGAGTAAACACCAGAACACAGGAAAGAGAAGATTATGGTGCGTTTTGTTACTTTTTCATTTTTATGTTTTTTGTAAAAAAAAAAAATAATTTTTTTTTCTGCGATAAAAATTGAAATATAAAACATGTTTTATATATATATTTTGTATTATACCAAAAATCTAGCACCTAACACCACAAAAAGCCACCACCAGCCACCTGACCCCACCGAAACACCACCAAAATCCACCACCTACCCCCCCTGCAAAATCATCCACCACCACCAACCCTCACCAAACACCCAACATCCAACCACCGAAACACCCCACAAACCCCTGCAAAACCCACCACCCAACCCCCTACAAACTCCCCAAAATCCCCCACCATCCAACTCCCTTGCAAAACTCCCCGAAATACAGCACCACCCCTGAAACCCACCACCCAATCCTCCTGCAAAACTCACCTTCCAACCCCACAAAACCCACGCAAGAAAAACAGGGGAGAGAGAGAGAGAGGAATTTTTATACTCAAACATGAAAATCTATTTTTTTGTTGTTAAGAATGATCGAAGTCAAAATCTCATTAGATCTTATTTTGAAGCCACGCATGTCTTTTTTTTTTTTTTTAATGTTTTTAAAAATATCATTTTAGATATTTCTATATTTTAGCCTTGTTTTTAAAGTGGAATAGTAAAAAAAAAAACATTCACCAAACGTATTTTTATGTTTATTTTTTCCAAAAAATGAAAACAAAAAAAAAAAAAACTAATGGTTACGGGCCAAAGTTACCAAAGATGGCAGAGGCGATGGGCAACACCTCCCACCAGAACTGCCAACTGATAGTAAGACGGACCTAGACGGCAAACCGCAAACACTCCTCAATGAAGCTATAATATTGAACCCAATCCCACCTAAGACTAGCAGTTCCGCCACAGCAATAAAACCATCATGGGATAAATAATGATAACACAACGCCTTTGTCGCCGGACCACAAAACCCACAATGTCCCAGAAAAATTATATAGGATCCCAACCATTTCCTCCATTTTAAGGACTACAGAAATATCGAAATAGCCAGCAGCAAAAGAAATAATGCTGAAAGTGCCGCAGAACTGGTCCACGATACAGTTAGCCCCAATACCAAACACAGCCTTAACCTCAGTTCACCAAAAAAAAAAATTAACAACATTCATTGCATCACAACAGCATCATTCATGAAATACAAATGGTAGAAAACTTGCGTAATGTTTTCTTTTATGTATTACATCTTTTACATAAGTTTCTTACACCCGGACCCTCTGTTCACGTCCTTTGCCTCACCCTCCTGCCATTGGTATCACCACCATCTGAAAGTTGAGCCCACACGCTACGAGACTTTCCACCTCCGCTGCTGCAATCCTCCTCACAACCTGCCACTGTCTTCAGGAGCTCTGACTGAAGTGATGGGCAGTTTTCTTTAAGGTACTCGAAGCCATCCGATCGCATAACAGCTGTAATAAATTGACCAGACGGAGCAAAAGAAAGAGAAGCTCGACAATTTAATGATAGAATAAAACAAATCCAAAAAGATGCACCAAGGATAGAAAACCTCATGGAAAATGCTGTTTTACATGTCATACATGTAACACTAAAATTATGTGGACAAGCAAATTCAAACATGCAGAAGTACATATCAGGAAACTTCACTCACATGACGTTAGCAGAAGATGGCACACAATCTCAACATAGTCTCACTCTTTCAACATGCAAAAACCAAACCAACCATGTATAAGCTCTCTGACCACGGTTGTCACTGCTAATGCCTCAAGATACAAGCCCTTTTTCAGTCATGATTGCACCAATTGCAAGTTTATTGTTTACGATAAACATAGTGCAGAAAGCTTGGGTTCAAAATTACAAGAAATAAAACAATAGGAAACATCTGAATGTCAAATGTAACATCATATAAAAGTGAGAGGTCGAGCAGCCAATAATTTGGAAGATGAAGAAAATTGGACCAAGGAATTTGGTAATCTTCATATATTTTGAGAGACCCCCCTTAATAGAAATGCAGAATGGAAGCATAATTCAGATCTCATAACCAAAGCATCATGAAAGAACGAAGAACAGAATGGCAATAACTTGCATTCAAGTGAATACTTGATGATGCCTCAAGAGCCTCAATTCTCACATCCTTCAATTTAGAAGTGGTGAAGGCTAAAATGCACTCACCAATCCCCATATTGGACGAAATGATCAGATTACCATTTGATACAACAGCTGCCACACTGAAGAGCATTTATAACTTTATCCTGGAACTCTCCCAAACCAGGTAAATTAATCTATGTTAAATACCTATTGTAAGCTCAAAACCACTTTTACATGAGTGACGACTCAATTAAGTGCATTCCTCCCCCTAAACCGCTCCACAAAAAGTTCATAAAAATAAAAATCCTAAATGTAGCTTGAGGCAAAAAGAAATGCCAGCATCTCACAGCAAACACACCAGCAGGTTCCCTCACAAGTTGAAGACATCGCAGAGTGTGTAGCCTTAAAGAAGCTTTGTTTTTTGTCATGTCCTTTACATTCCAATTTTAGTTTTTGCTTTTCTTTCTTAATATTTTTTATATAGAGCACTTCTTGTCCATTTGTGTAATCTTTCATATTTTCTTCATTTTGAATAATATTCTCTTGTTTCTGATCAAAAAAAATAAAATTACTGGCATCAGTAGCAAACAAAAATATTTGGCTAACTACTTGCTTCATTCAAGATAAAGCATGCAATACTCCACACATGTAAACTTCTATATCTATTTGAATAAGTAAAGTCATGTATATATTAAATTATTATATCCATGTAATTATTAGATTGAATTCCACAATCAAGTATATGCTATAATTTATTTTTTATTATGCAATAATATAATAATATTATAAACGATCTAATCAATCTATTTAATAAAATAAAAATTAATAATCCTATAATATAATTAGTTGTGCAAATGCATAAAAAAATGACAGATTAAGTACATAAATAAAAAACAAAGACTTATAAAATAAACTACTAATTGAATTTAATAATATTAAAATACAGATTAATTATTTGACATCAAATTTATTATTTAATTTAGTTACACATACAATTTACCTTTTTAAAAACTATTATTTAAATTTATTTACGTGCAACGCACGTCGTGCATTGCTAGTAATTTAAAAAACGAGTTACATCAAAGATGAACAATAAAAAGAAAACAAAGAAAAAATAAAGTTACATAACAAGTCTATAAATCACAAATCTCTCTCCATCCCCCTAAGATTGCAAAAAACGGAATTCCTTTGAAATCTTTTCAGATTGACGCCCAAAATGAGGCTAAGAAATGAATACAGTTCCACAATCCTTCCAAAGGCTCATATCGATCTTCAAATATTATTGTATTTCTTTCCTTCCAAATAACCCAAAAAGTAGCAATAATAACACAGTTCCAAAGAGTCACACCTTTATCATATCTTCGAAAGCATTTCATCTCTTCAATAAAGAAAGATGTGGATGAAGCACGAATCACCCACCTCAAATATGTCTTTCAAAACAACTTTATACCACATAGCCAAAGCAACCGAGCAATGTAAAAATAAGTGATCAATGCTTTCAAAATTAACTTTACACATCACACACCACTGAGGTGAAAAACAACTATGAGGCCTTTTCTGAAGCATATCACAAGTGTTAAGCTCACCATGTGCAACAGTCCATGCAAAATCTTGAATTTTAATAGGCATTTTAGCCTTCCATTTCATCAAAGCTGGGGCAAAAGTAGGACAAGAATATTGATTCATCAAAGATTCAAAAAAGGATTTACGAGAGAACACACCCGACGTCTAGCATCCAATTTCGTACATCATGACTCTAGAGATTCAACAAGCAACTATTTAGGATACCAAGAAATGAAGTGTGATCGCCAATGTCTCTATCTCCTACATTCCTACGGATTTCTAAATCCCAAGAGTATGGATGATTGGAAGAAGTGGGTATTTGGTAGCCATCCAAAGTCCAAACATCCGCCCAAAACCTTATTCTCTCACCATTACCCACCACAAATCTCAACTCTTGGGAAAACCTAGTCAAACCCTAAAATATGAGTTTCCTCGGACAGCGGAAACTTGTCCTTTCAACCCTATTACTATCCCATTTGTTCGCCCGTAAACCATATTTGCTCTTGATAACTAAATACCACAAAAAATTTGGCTCCAATTGAAACCTCCACATCGATTTACCTACTAATGCAATGTTTCTTACTTCCATATCACAATAAAAAGGCCACCTTTAATCTGTCATAATGATGCCACCTCATAAATTTATGCATAGACAATACGGCACAAGTTTCTATTGAATCCACCAAAATGCTCATGACAATTTCCTTTGGGTAGTTCTACCTGAAAAAGAAAAAGAAGAAAACTAGGGGGCCATATAGGTGAGCACTACCGTCAAGAGTAAGAGAGTTCAAATGTTACTAGGAATGTCACTACTTCTTTCACTCATCAAGTCACCACAAAGATTCCAAAATCGAAAGGGAGACCTTCGACAAGGAGTGAGATCCCCTCCAATATACTCTCTTCATTTTTCTTCTTGATAGATCACCTGTCATGAATTCAAATGGAACTCATTGAATAAAAGTGGGTCTCTCACTCATTAATGGTGGATGATAAGAAAAATGGAGGAAAAAACTATTGGAGGGCATCTGGATCCCTTGTATACAAATAGAGAACACAAAACTAAAGAAATGATAGTACAAGTGCAACTGAATTCATGATAAAATGGAAAGAAAAAAAAAAGAATAATAGACATGCAATCACATCAATTTAGGAGATCCAGTCACATTTTCAAAGTCAACTGAATCTAAAATACAAAAGAAAAGAAGGGGCTACAAAATGCCATAAAAGGGGAAAAAAAATGGATGACAAGACCTTCACCGCCAAAAGCCAAAATCAAACCAAACAAAAGGTTAAGGATGGAGAGGCGGAGAATAAAATGAAGGGAAAAAGAAGACGGCAAGCCCTTTCAGACCAGCAAACTAAGTTCTTCTGAAGTGGGATAGAAGTGCCCTCTTCACAAAAGAAGAAGCAGCAGCAGCCTCAACCTCATCGCCTAAGACCTGTACCCACTACCACAATCCTAAAATTCACCCTATTCTTCTCTTTTTTTCTTATTTTACACATAAGCCCCTAATGTTTTTCCCACACATACAGAAAAAAAGAGGGACAAAAAAGTAATGACACATAAATAACTGGTTTCTCTTCACCATTTTGCAATAAGTCTTACATAGCTACTAATGATATTCCCCAAAACAAGGAACCAATCACATGCATGGCAGCATGACCAAAAAACCGGTGAGATCTATCTATTTGGACATAAAGAAACTCCTCGCACACTGAAACTTTCATTCGGAGCTTACTGAAATCATCTCTAAAAGATTTGTGGTTCTCTGGTTATAAAGTTGTAAAGTCACTGTTATGCAACCCCAAACCGCCATCGCTCAAATTCCACTTATCAAAAAAGTAACATTTAATATACACTACTTAATACCTTGTAATTATATGAGAGAAACAGGGGGAAAGGATTTCTATACTGCTACTCAATACCTTGATCTCGAAAAAGAAAATATAAGAAAGGAAAAAGGAATGTAAAGGAAACTACCGTCTAATCATCCTTCATGCAAAAACAGTGGTGAGTGGCCCCAACTACTGATAATCTGGAATGTAAATATGCTCCTACTAAATATTTCAGCAATATTCTAAATCTACAGGAAAATTTCAATCTAATATAAGCATACCAGCTCACAAGGCCAAACATAACTGTACACTTGTTTCAATAGTTTCTTTTACATGTTGTCATCTAAACATATCCTTCTTTATTGAATATTTTCATGGTCGGAAGTTTTGGGCCTATCCTAATACATGCGGCGATTCCACAATTTCAAAAATCATCATTGAGATGATTTGAAACATTTCTGAGGCAACCTATATATCCTGAAAATCTAAATCAAAGGAGGAAAAAAAAAACTAAAACTAATATACATACCTGCAAGGTTTTCAGCAGCAAATCTAAGGCAAACAGCTTTTAATTCAATGGCATGATATTGGTCTGCCAGAGCTAGAGTTTTTGCAACAGAGTTCACAGATATATCCTTGCAGAGATGAGACTCACACATCCGTCTGAGTCTTCCCAAATCATACCTATCAGCCGCTGCTAACAATTTTGCCGTCAGGGTATCAAATATGGACGATGCACTTGAAGAACTAGAAGCTACCAACTCATCATCTACAAGAGCATCTCTGTACATAAAATGCAGCATAGCCTGTGGCAGATTGAATTTCAGAACTATTAAAAAAAAAGCAGCAAAAATAATATCAATCCTCATTTGAAACAACAATAAACAAAGAAACAATCCTAGGAAGTACAGAAGTTCAGTAGTTATTATATATTCTCACCTTAAAAACCTTGGGCTCCATGTCTGTAACAGCAATCTCCTGCTTATCACCCTCCATTCCATCAAAAAATTCAGATCGAAAAACAGAGGATCGAGCAGCCAATACCAACTTATGAGCATGAAATTTCTCTCCAGCCACAGCAAAAGTAACATCTGAACCTTCCATATTTTCCAATAGCATACCAAAATGTGATCCAATATCAGAATCCGGAACCTGAATTGAATGTAATCTTGAACAGTCTATCCCAGAAACCACAACTCCAACGGTACAATTAATTTTCAAGCAATCATCCTTCAGATAATCGGATGTTTCAAGCATAGCTCTTCTGAAGAAACGCTTGTATCCCCTACATAAAATCAGAGCAATTAACAAATTTAATGTCTGGAACATGAAAACTTGGGCTTCATTCACATACAAGTATCCTATTTACAATTCTATTCACACAAATAAACGAGTAGAGGGAGAAGAAAAGTACAAATGAACAAGGGCATAACATAGAAGAAAATTGGGAATTCTTAAACTTCTTTTCTCAGTTACATTGAGTTCACCCTAGACTCATCCCATCCCACAAATTGAAAACAACATTTGATTCCTAAGTTAACAGAATATAACTCTTTTGAATAGTCTCGAAAAGATTAAACCACCAAAATGTGAAAGAGTCTTCAGAAATCCAGTCTGTCTGATTGTTAGCAACAAGAAGAAACCAGTTTCATTCCCTTTTGGAAATGCTTAAAATCTATTTCTGAGGGCAAAATCCATTTCCCCCCTTATGATTTGTCTCTGTTGCATATAGCCTCATATGGTTCAAAAATATGCACACAACCTCCTTCAGGATATGAATTACAGTTCAACAGTTGCAAGCATTGGTTTTTCATTATAAATAGCAATCCAACTTGTTAAATTCAGCTGTTGCAACTCATTATATTGTGTCCTACACCCAATACTACAAATGCCGAGGACCCATCTGTAATAAGATATTTTTTTAGTTTTACTACTATTTAACAATTTGACTTTCAGTAAATTCTTTAACAACAATTTTGCAAAATGACTAATATTTTTCTTTCAAATAAGCATATATCGTCAAATTTTTGGTAAATCCACAAAATGAATGTAACCAATAGAAGGAAATAGAATAAGCATTCAACTTGCGGGATTGCTTAGAAGAACTTTTTGCCAAAAGATAGGGCGTAAAAGGTTGACAACAATACTTAAAAACACTAACTTGTTGTCAAAGTTATATGAATGTATCATTGTACGTGAATTTCAGAGAAAAGGCTAATAATTAAAAATAAAAATTATATACTGCTCCAAGCATCCACTATCATTTCTGAAGTATATTTATCTGGGATAACTATATCCAAGGCTTATCCAGAAATAACATACTATTTTATTAATTATTGATATGTATGGTGCTGACTTAAAAAAAAAAATATTATGGTGTGTATATGATACATATCTTTCGCTATCCGACGAGAATTGTATTTGATATGATAGTCAATGCAGATACATCGGCCTAGTAGAATAGTCGTGCTTCATAGGCACTCACTTATGTCAACATTCGAGTCTGGTAAAGCATCCAAGTCTTCAAGTCAAACATGCATACCAAACAACATGTCTTTAAATGAGTTTAGATATCAGCTTTATTCTATATAAGAGAACGAAGATATGATGCTTATAAAGCATGGTTTGAATCCAATAACCCAAAGTACGATACAGCCTTGGCTTTAGAAAGTGATTCCTAAAGAACTATAAGAGGAATTCCCAGATTACTCTTTTTCTAGTCTCCTCGTCTTAGGTTAGTTTTCCTAGAATGGTACTCACATACTAAATAACCATTCCTCTTAACCCATTTCATCAACCCCTAATCAATGCCAAATTTTCTCATCAGCTTCTGGCCACGAATCTATACGGGTGTGCCATGAAATTAATTGCCATTCAGAATTTTCTACAACCTAAATCCCAAATTCCTGCACCCATCATCTTTCAAACTAAACCTAGTCCAAAACCTTTTCACACCCAAGTCAAGCATCTTTCCTTCAGTGATTTAACAAGTTAAACATAATCTCCTTAACTATACCCACAAAACCAACTGCCAGTGGAAAGATTCCAAGTTCTCTCATTACACTGGTTTAAGTAAATCACTCCTAATGTTGGAGCTTTCACTTTTATTTTTGAAAAGAAAAAAGTGAACATTCACAATTTGCTCTAAAACATAAAATCTAGCAAAAGCCTAACATCACACAGGGATGGAGTAAAGAGGCCACTTGACAATTGACAAAATCTCATCGTCTACTCCTGTTAAGAGCCCATTCTATTTATTGTTGATCTTAGCCTTTAACAAATTTAAGTTTTTAGAGTAATTTGTATTAGGTAGCCGAACACATTTTAAATAACAATAGTGATTGTTTACAGCAATAGTAATAATTTAATAGACTCGAAACGTAACAGATAAGATTCAGCAAAGGGTAGCGCCGACCCACCCAAAAACTAGTCCTATGACCTATGCCCATTATCAAGCTGTTGGGGTGCTAAGTGTAACAAAGAAAACACAGGAATATATAGTGGATATTGCTCAAACGGAAAGGGGTGTAATTGAAATTGCTTTAAAGTGTGTATTGATTACTCATAGAAACTCTCAAATGCTCTCCTCCTGCTGGAGCTCTTTCTCTTACATAATATATATCTCTCACTCTCTTATGCATACATTAAACCCTTTATATATGCTGCTAAACCACCACTGTAAGTAAGCTTCTCTGCCGCCTCAAGTATGTCATCCAACCATAAGATCAGAGACCTTCATCTTGAGGACTTTGTGCAAGTTGCCATTCCTGAACTTTCTAAGCATTGCCAACTTTGCTCTGACTGGAAGTATTTAATGCTAAGCTTCTCTATTCAGCAAGAAAAGTCTGGATGCTTCAAGAGATCTGTCCAATTGCCATTGCCGAATAATCTAGAAGATGATTAATATAAAATTAGAAATTACTTTTTAACACCACCTCGTAATTTGTAATTTTTATACACTGATGAAATTGATAAAATCTCTCCAATGTTACGGGTTTAGTAAAATTGTCTACTCCTTTATGTTGACGAGATCAAGTTGCAATTCTTCTTTTTGAACCAAGTCTGTGATAAAATGATGTCTCAGCTGAATATGCTTTGTTTGACTATGGAATACTAGATTTTTGCTCATTGCAATTGCTGACATAGTATCGCAAAGAATTGTAGTTGGAGCTTCTTCTTTTTGTTCCATATCTAAAAGAATTCTTTTTTGTCATATTGCTTTACATGCTGCATCCATCGCAGCAATATATTCAACTTCGGTTGATGATAATGCAATTGTTTTCTGCTTTTTATAACTCCAAAAGATAATTTTTGAACCCATGCAAAATAAACAACCTAACATGATCAAGTGGATCATCAAGTGAACCTACCCAATAACTGTCAGTGTAGCCAATCAACTTCTTTTCCTTGTCTTTGACTTAGCTAATGTCGAGTTTTCAGGTGCCTTGTAGATAACGTAGGATCTGTTTTGCAGCTGTATAATGTAGCTTGCTTGGATCATTCATAAATCAAGAAATAAGGTTGATTGAATAAACAATATATGGCTTGGTGTTGGTGAGATAAATGAGTGTACCCACCAAACTCCAATACATAGTAGTATCAATTTTCTCCGATCCATCATTTTGTTGTAGCTTTTCATTCAAGGCAATTGAAGTAGATATTGACTTGCAATTAAACATGTTGAACCTTTTTAGCAAGCCCTCAAGATTAGGGGTGTTCACCCTATCTTACGGGTAGGAAATATAATCTTTCATCTTCTTATCCGATACTTTGCGGAAGAATTTTTTCTTCGCCTACCCTACCCAATCAGGTGTGATATTCCTACCCGATTAATCGCGTAGAAAATCGGATAAACACTTTTGTAGCTATTAATTTTTGGATCATTTTAACAATTCAATTAAATAGCATGCACCAATTTAACAACACAATAAATCAATAACACTAAAAACTAAAACCTAAAACCTAAAACCTAAAACCTAAAACAACTACAACAACAATTACAATAACATAAAAAAACATGAACATCAATCCATCATAATTGTTATACAAATACAATAACAATTATATTAAGTTTAAACCATATGAAACACATTAAAATCATAACTGCTTCAATAGATCACCAGTTCACCACAAATCATGTAACCTATACAAAAAATAAGTACATGTTTTCGCAACTCAAACATTCACAACAATAACAATGTTATAATATAAATTATACCACACAAATACTATTATAATTACTAAAAAAAATTTTAACAAGTTAAATACATTTTTTGTGGGTAGGGTAGGGTAGAAATGTGAAAATTGATAGGTATCCGCATTCTTACCCGATTTAATCGGAAGATTAAAAACTCTTTCGCATTCCTACTCGATTTTTGCAGCTACCCATTCAATAGGGTAGAGTAGAGTAGGCTAGGGTCGGAAATTGCGGCTAATCAAAAAATTGAACACCCCTACTCAAGATATTTTTCTTGAGAGATGAATACTGCTCCTTTGCTTTGTCTCGCTTGAATGCTGAAAAAATACCTCATAAGACCCAAAACAGCCATTTTATACACTTTCATCATAGCGTTTTTCAATTCTTCAACCATTGTTAGGTTGGTATTGGTGTAGATTAAATCATCTCCATATAAGCTGACAATAAGCAAATATTGGATGCCTTTGTTCTTGACATATCCGTTATGGACTTTTAGATTCTTGCACTCTTATAGGCTCGATAAATTGAAATTCTCTGACATCTTGGACTAAATTGTCCTTCCATTGCCATGCTACCAACTTATCAAATATGGCATCCTAAGAAATTACCAGCTTATTTTTGTCTAAATTGTATAGACGATATCCTTTAAACTCACTACTATACCCGATAAATATATATTTCTCACCTTTTCCATCAAACTTTTCTTTTTCAGTGAAGGGATTAAGGCATATACAATACATCCAAATAATTTAAGAAATCCTCAATTGACTTTTGCTGATACCAAGCCTGATAAGGTATCTTATTTAGAACTACCTTTGTACAAGATCAATTGAGAATATAGAATGTTGTGTTAACTATCTCATCCCATAAATTATTAGGATGTCATTTGCCTTTAAGCATGCTTCGTGCCATTTCCACATAGGTGCGACTTTCCCTTTCTACCATTTTTGTTGGAGTGATTGTCGAACTATAAGTTGCATTATGATTCCTTTCCCCCTACAATAATTCATGAATAGAGTATATATGAATTCTCCACCATGATCTATCCTGAATGCCTTCAATTTTATGCCACATTGTCTTTCTACCATAGCTTTGAACTCAAGAATTTTGGAGAAGGATTCTGACTTTTGCTCAAGAAAATAAAGCCACATCATGCGAGTATAATTATCAACAAATAGAATAACTGATTGTGTTCTGCTCGGCCCTTAAATATCAACATGTACTAACTCCAGTGATGCTTTAGCTCGCCAAGATATCTTTGGGAATGGTAGCCAATGTACCCTTCGCAGACTTAATCAATTCTTTCAATATAAGATAGACCATGCACCATACCTTTTTCTTTCAACAGTCTTAGGCCTCTATAATTTAGGTGCACATATCTCAAATGCCGTAAATAGGAATCATTGATCTTTGAAGCTTGAAATGCAAGATTTTCATCCAATTGCATAACAAAATGAAAAACTTTATTTGTATCATGTAAACCTTTGCCACCTTTTGATTATTCTTTTTATCAAAAATAATACAACCACCATTATCAAAGTTAACTGCATATCCTTTCTAAAGTAATTGCTCAAAGCTAAATAAATTCTACGTCAGTCCAGGAACATAAAGAACATCAGTAACAAATTTTATGTTTACCTCCTTTTGTAATGAAGACAATAATTCCTTCCCCTTCAACATTTTGTAGCTCTCTATTGCCAAACTTTACTTGCTAGAAAAAAATTTCACCCAACTCCGTAAACATCTTTCAATTCCCGGTTATATGATTGTTGCATCCGCTATCCAAATACCACATATTTTCTGACTCTTGTTAGATATTCATACAAGAGAGTATAGTATCTCCTTCCTTTCCTTCTAAAAAATTTGCCTTATCCTAGTTGAACCAACAATCACATTGAGAGTGATTTGATACTTTGCAGTTCTTGCATCTAAATCTGCTATCTTTGACAATATGGTTGAATCTTTTGCAAATAATACACTGAGAATCAGAATTACCATCAAAATTCCTTTGATTGGTGTAGCATCTTCCTCTACATCGGGCTTAAAATGAATTTTACTTTCCATGACCTCTTTTGTATTGGCCTCCTTTTTGAAATCTGCCCCTTCCTTAATTTTCTTACACCATTTTCGAGTTTCTGCCTTCCTAGATTCTTCTATGTTGACTTTGGCCTAAAATGCTTGCTCCAGAAACTAGTTTGAAAACCTGCTTATCGTTTTCTCTTGTGCTTCCAAAGAACTCATCAATTCGTGTCGAATCAATTTTGACGAATCCTTAGCTTCCTTGATTATTGCAACGATATGCTCGAATCTTGCTAGTAAACTCCATAGGACTTTTTCAACAATCTTTTTGTCTGAGGGGTGTCTCCATAACTTCTAATTTGATTAACAATACTAACAACTTGGGAAAAGAATTCTTATATTGATTAAATTTCCTTCATCGCTAGGTTATCAACATATTCCCATAAAGTTTGACGTTTGATAGAAATTACCTTATCAAATCTTTGACATTCGATCTTTAATATCTCTTATGCTTCCTTTAATTTTTTGCACCCAAAATTCGTGGAAAAATATATTTGCTAACCCCTCGTTGAATATTAAGAAGTGTCTCTGCATCTTTCCTTTTGATCTCCTTATATTTCTTCTTATTTGCATCTTGTCGTGTTGCTAATTATTCTTCATTGGTTGGTGCTTCAAATCCAACTTCAACTATATCCCATAAGTCTTGTGAGATAAATAAAGTTTTCGATTGGATACTCAAATACTCATAATTCTCACCTTCGAAAATTGGAATAAGGGTTTACACATAATTGAACATGGAAAAGTTAGCTTTCATTGTAGAGGCTTATTTGGAAAGATTTTGAGGGGGTTTGGAACCTTGGCTATGATACCATAATTGTTGGGGCACAAAGAAAACAAGGAAATATATAGTGGATATTGCTCAAAAAGAAAAGGGTGTAATTCAAATTGTTTTAAAGTGTGTAATATTTACACACAGAAACTCTCAAATGATATCTTCCTACCGGAGCTTTTTTCTCTTATACAATATTATATCTCACTCTCTTATTCCATTCAATACATTACATGCATACATTAAAGCCTTTATATAGGCTGCTAAACCGCCACCGTAAGTAACCTTCTAGGAAGCTTCTCTGCCGTCTCAGTATGTCATCCAACCAATATGAACATAGAGCTTCATCTTGATGGACTTTGTGCAAATTGCCATTCCTTAACCTTCTAAGCATCGCCAGCTTTGCTCCGACAGGAAATAGTTAATGTTAAACTTCTATATTTAAGCGAGATAAGTCTGGATGTTTCAAAAGATCTGTCTAACTGACATTGCCCAATAATCTAGAGAATGATTAATAATAAAATTACAAATTACTTTTTTAGCACAGGCGTCTTAATTTACTTCCAACTTATTATTTATTTTCACAAAATAATAAAATCAAAAATTAAAGTACTAACATTGAAATCGACGAGATGACACATGTTGTCGTGCTTTCCACCAATGTGAAAGTGTGTTAACCGTTACAATTCATTGTTCTTTTCCTTCTTCATATAAAAGGAGAACCTATCGAAAGAATCAAACTAACAATTGATAGGCGAGGAGTTTGGTGTTTACTTCTGGGTTAGAGTTTTCATTGGGAGTCTGTCTTTTTTATTTAGGGATAGGATTGAAAGTGAGGGTCGGAGTAAAGGGCAATCCATGTCGCGAATGTCCCCTGTTTGGGGTCGTCCAACCCAAATCGAGGGTCGTAGAGTCCTGAGCGTTTTCTGGTAACACTATTAATAATTAGTCTTAGGGTGACAATTGAGTAGATTTGTATCATTTCAAATTCATATCGAGTATTCACCAATCCTAACAAGCCCTATTTAGTTAATCGTGTTATACAATCCAACCCTAACACAACCTATTTATTAACCATCTTATACTCTGATAAACAACCATAACATATGAACCATTAATCCACAACTAAGTTCAGATTGGTGTCGAGTATTTATCCTTCCAACACCCTGGCTTCTACCTTAACACCCAAATTCAAATCTCCCCACCGTAATGGTTGCCATCTAGTTTGGTCCACATTGTCTAGTTTGATCCTCAGTAACTAACAAATGCTACAGTAGTAGACTGGATAGAGATCTAATCTGTAGCATCACTTCAAAATAGGTACTTCACATTTGAACCCACAACCTCACAATGATTACTCCAATACTCTTACAACTGCACCCACCAAATCTCTAATTCTCAGTAAAAATTACCTATATATATGTTCATAAAAAATGCCCTAATTACATCAACAGTCACAATTCAGAACATTTCCAATATAGTAGAAACACGAAAACAAATGCACCCCAAAAAGTAACCTAAACACAAACTTAAATTAACTTTTACCACATGCTACCACGATACTTCAGCGTGTAAGGCCCGCTCTCCAAGGAACGGTCGAAATGGCTATGGACCTTATGCTTGCCTTTCCCACTCTGATCCACCAAAGTCAGCTCAAATAACGCCCTGACATCCGTACCTTCACTGGCAAGCGCAATGAAAACCGACACGTACGTCGAATTATCCTCCGGGTTCTTACCGTCAGGGTAGAAATAAATCGCCCATTGGTAGCCTCCGATGGTGAAATTCTCGCTGGCTATGTGTTTTCCGATTCCCATGCCCTTTGCTAAGCTGTAGCCTTGGATTACAAACCGATGGGATCCATTCACCGTCTCCGTCACCGACTTCGAGCTCGTCGGTAAGACCAGGGAGTTTTTATCCGGTGTGCCCGTGTCCGACATTGTGAAGAATTTTGGGGTTAAGAAGGGGTGAATTTCATGGAAATTAGGGGATTTCAGGGCTGAATTGGCTAAGTTTGGGGATATGGGAGGAATTCTAGGGATGTTTGGGGGTAGAAATGGGGAAGATGACGTGGGGCTGAGAGCAGGAGAGAGGGAGAGCTAGGGTTTTCTTTCTCTCTCTGAAAAATGCGATTTGGGGTTTGTGCAAAGGACTTGAACAGCCGGCAATACAGTGGGTGTTTCGTACTTTCGCTATATAAAGGGTCCCTTTTTTTTTAGCGAAACAATGGTAAAAAAAAATTTAAAATTTTTATGGGATTGATTAATATGAAATGGAAAATTATTTAAAAAATAATTTATTTTCATACTTAAATTTTCTCACAGCTAACTAACTTTTTTTTATAAAAAACACAAATAAATATAATAAATTTGTGATTTATTACTAATTTCTTATTTTATTCTTATTTTTTTTAATATTTTATTAGTTACTAATTTCTTATTTTTTAAAATATTTTATTAGTTATTAATTTTAAAAAATCTTGATATGAAATTAGTTAACTATATAATTTAACCTAGAAACATTTGTGCTAAGCCTGGCAATTATGTCGAGTGAAACAATTTTGTGTCGTGTGGAATGGGTTTGTGTCAAAAAATCCTTCATCCATACCTCATTCGTTTATATAAACGAGTTCAACTATCACATCAATACACGAATCGTTTATTAGGCAAGTTAACCAATACAATTCGTGTGTTACTCGCTAAATTAGATAATAGATTAGAGTATTTCAAGTCCACATGAAAAATCATCAACTCATCACACATTACACATAATTGACCTATTTATTATAACAATAAATCATGGCTCAGGAAAAAAATAAAGACAAAAAATAAACATTAATGACTACTAAATTTGAATGATTCTAAGAAATAAGAGGTGTGAAATGAGGCTGAGGTTGAGAGACCTAACTTTAAAAAAAAAAAAATTATAGTACTGCTACTAACGGGTTGAAACAAATTTATGGGTTAAACACGAAATCGGCTCGTTTCTTTCAAGGGTCTGTCGAGTTAACTCATTAATCACCCGAACCAATTAAGACTACACTCAAACCCGTTAAATCCATGTCTAGTTCATGTCAACTTCACGAGTCGTGTCTAAAATTGTCAGGTCTTGTGTTGATACTCGTCTCAAAATTAGGTTATGAGCCACTTTTTTTAAAAAAAATAACTTTTAATTATAATAAATATTTTTTTCTTCTTAAGACCAATTTAATATAATTAAGGATAATTTAGACAATTATAAAAGCTTTCTTGTAATTTTACTTTTTTTCAAACAATATAATGAAATTTTTTTAAAATTTTCTATCAAGATTTTTATACTAACTGCATGAAAATATATATATTTTTATTTTCTTTTTTTTTCACTTTACTTGCTATTATTTTCACTTTTCACCATTTTTTTCTCCTTAATCACAAACAGACTCTAAAGAAACATCATTAGGAAATGAAAATGATAACAAGAAAAGAAGAATGGGATCCTAAATAATACTGAAGAGCTGTTTTAGGTGGTGTTTGATAAAACTGAATACTGAATTTTAAGTGTTGAATACTTAATTTTTTAATTTGTAAATTGTTTGGTATCAACTGAATTTTTAATTATTGAATCAAACTATTTAACAAATATAAAGAATTGAAATCTAAAAATTATTAGTGGTAACGGTGATGGGGTGTTGGCAGTGATAAAATAGTAGTGGTAATGGCGACGACACCATGGTGGTGGTGTCATAATGGTGGCAATGGTGGTTGTGATAGTGGTAGCAGTGGTGGTAGTGGCATAGTGGTAGTAGTGATGGCGATACAATGGTAGTGATATGACGACGACACAATGACGGAGGTGGCATAATAGTAGTGGTGACGGTGACATAATGATGATCGTGGTGGTGGTGGCACAATGGTAGTAGTGGCAATGATAGTGGTAATAGCAGTGATGGTGGTAACGATGACATAATGGTGGTGGCGGCGACGACAACACAGTGGTGGTGATGGTGGATGGTAAATATTGAAAAGTTAAGAGTGTAAAATGTATTGAGGGTATATTTATCTATTATGAGGAATTGATAAAATCCTTACTGCATAACATTTTTAGCGTTAAGTGATAAGTAGATGACTTGTTACTAAAAATTTTAGCCTATTTTTAATAAATACTTAAAATATTAACTGACATGAGTTTTAGATTATCAAACGAGTTTAATTCATTAAGTGCTTAAAGTATTCAGTTTTAAGTCTTAAGTAATATTGTCAAACACCCTATATAATATCACTTAAGACTTAAAATTGAATATTTTAAACATTTAATGAATTAAAAGTTTTGAAAACTTAATACTTATACCATTTAATATTTTAAGCACTTTTTAAAAATATGTTAAAATTTGTAATAGCAAGTCGCCTACTTAACACTTAATGTTGCAGATGTTAGAAAGTAAGGATTTTAAAAATTTCTCATAATTGACAAATATACCCTCAATATATTTTACATTCTTAATTTTTCAATACCCTCCCTCCTCCACCACTGTTCCGTCGTCGTCGCCACCACTATCACTATTGTGTCATCGTCACTACCACTGTCGCCACTGTTACCATCATCATCAACATTGTGTCGCCGTCGTCACCATCACCATTGTGCCAGTGCCACTGTCCCGCCACCGCTGCCGCCATCACCACTACAATTTTGACAATATCATTGTTACCACCATCACCACTATTGTGCCACTGCCACCACACCATCACCACTACCACCATTGTGTGGCCACCATCACTGCCACTATTATGCTGCCACCACCACCACCATTGTGCCGTTGCCACTACCACCATTGTGCTACTACCATAGCCACCGTCACCACCACCATAGCCACCACCACCATTGTGATAGTGGTAATAGGAATAAGGTAGTTGCGGTGGATTGGCTTAGTAAGAAGATTCAATATGATTTTACTTGAGCGAATAAATACATAGTGTACATGTATACAAATAAATGCAAGTGTAAACAATAAACAATAAGAGGCACAAGTAATTTATTGATGCGAAAAACCTTATCGAGGAAAACCGCAGGAAACCACTCAAGGTTCTCCAAGCCTAATCTACTACGTGTCAAGTCAAAGTACAAGAACTTTAGTCTTATACATGGACCAATACCTACGATTAGATGCTCTTTTCCTTATTATGTTTCATCGACAAAACTCCCTCTTTGATGTCTAGTTTAGTTTCACTTGGACCTCCCTAGCGCACGGTTTGTCTAAGCCTCGAGTGATTATGAGCATTCTAACAATTCTCGATATGCACATACCAATTGGTTTTGTTCACCAACAAGCTCTTCTACTCCAAGTTATGATGATGGAAAGAATCATTAGTGGTAGCATTTGGATCTTAGAAATCTAGATTGTGGTGGAAGCTCTCAATGTTGAAAGATAGATTTCTCTCTTCAAAATACACTCTCAAGGCTTGACCTAAATGTGGAAAAGGCTCTCCCTATTTATTGATTTGAAATAATGGCAGTCTTAGTAAATAAAAAAATTCAGATTCACGAACGATTGTTTGTTCAATGGAAGGGCAGTTGGCACTAGAGTGAAAAACAACGTCTCAAACCAGCCAAGGATCATAACTGCTTGAGCGAGCATAAGGATTGTTTGGGCGCCTATGGAGACCACTCGAGTGAGCTCTATGTTGATCTCCCGTGTCTTTTTTTTGTTTTTATCATAAATCATCAAAAGACTACTTTAGCAAATGCTAGCGAGTATATGGTGATCCCTATAGGTTTTTGAAGCCTACAACCATATAAAAACTTGTCCTCTTGAGTAGTAAAGGGTGTTACTTAAAGAGGAGTTTGATTGTAATTCAAACTATATTTTCAAAACACAAAATTAGTTTATAAAAACTTTTCTTTAAAAATCACCTAGGAGTCATAATCGAATCACTTCCAATTCCATTTTCATCATAATCATCATAAGTTAAAATAACTAAGGATTTATTTTAGGTGTCTAAGTCATTATATTTGTCCTAAACATGAAAGTGTATACGGAGGTTGAATGATATACCTTTGACGCTTGATCTCTCCCTTTAATGTCACTCTGTAATCTTGAACTTAATAGCATCATGACCATAAAATGGTTGAGAATTTTACAATGGACTCCACAAAATTATCCAATTACAAAACATAATCTAACAAATAATTTTCAGATCAACTTCTTATATTTTTCAAACAGTTTAATTCAATTTAATATATAAATTTCAATAGATATCATATAGTTTGCGAATTAAAAAATTCATTATTCAACACTTAAAATTCAGCATTTAGTTTTATCAAATACCAGTACCCAAATTATTTCAAATTTAGATCATTCACTTTCCACCTTTGCTTGATAAATCTCATAAATACTCCTAAACTATCACATTTATTTTAAATTATCTCTTAAACTTTAAATTGTTACAATTTTCCTTGAGCTATATAATTTGTTTCAATCAATTACTTTAGTTAAAATTAACCGTTAAATGAGATAAATCAATGATTGATTTTAACATAATTTATCTCATGTAACAGTTAATCTTAACAAAAATTTGTATCCTATGGTGCATTTGGTAACGTTTTTATTTATGTTTTTTTTAAAAGAAAAATAGAACTAGTTTTTGTTTTTTCTATGATAAAAATTAAAAATATAAAACATGTTTGATAATCATTTATATTTAAAAAATTATGAAAAATAAATAAAAAGCATGTTTGATATTATGGCTATTTTGGTTAATTTGTTAATCCCAAATAAGTAACTCTTTAAAATAGAATTGGGGATGCACCAACCATTACCATCGAAAATCACCCATTACCCAAACCCCACTGATACCCACCATCACCAACCACCCAACCCCACCGATACCCATCATCACAAACCACCTAACCCCACCGATACCCACTATCACCAACCCCCAAAACCCACTACCATCCACCCCTAACAACCCATCACCAATACCCAAAACCCACCACCACCACCTCCCTGAAAACCCACCACTGCCGACCCTTGAAAACCCACCACTAGCCCCCGAAACTCACCACCACTAGGCCCCTAAAAAACCCACCATGCAACCCACCACCACTAGCCCCGAAAACCCACCACCTGCCCCCAAAATCCAACACCACCACCCTTAAAACCCACTACCAACACCAGTCCACCATAGCCCCTCAGGGCTTCGTCGGAGAGAGCTTCACCCACAATCATAGATCCGAGAGAGAGAGAGAGAGAAAAAAGGGGAGGGAGCTTTATTTTGCTTTATATATGTGTCACTAATGTCCTATTTTTGCTTCTAATGAAAGTCGAAGACTGGACCCCATTAAAAGTCCTCGAGTCAAAACAACTTGACTAAAAAAATATATGAACCAAACGTATTATTGTTTTTAATTTTAAAAAAAATTGAAAATAAAAACAATGGGTTACCAAACGCAACCTTAATAAAAATATAATTGATTAAAATAAATTATATAATTTAGGAGCAATTTGAAAGTTTAGACAATGATTTACAACAAATGTCATAGTTCGAGGTCATTTTTATAAAATTTATCCTAAATATATCTACTTGGTATACTTATATGTTCCACTTTTACATGGCATACTGGTTCTTCTTGTTATTTATTTATTTATTTTTGGTGATATGGGTTTGCAGAATAGTTTGTTTAAAATTAATAGAAACAAACAGTAACCCTTTGCAATAAAAAAAGAAAAGAAAAAGGGAATGACAAATATATATATATTAGTAATGCACCATATGCGTTACACATGAATAATTGTCGTACACAAAAATTAATAAAATATGAATTTGAATTAAGTATCATTTCAAATTTATCAAACTTAATTTTTCATTGATCATATTCTATTATAGGATTATAAAAAACATATATGTTCCCAAAATTATTTCTTCTAACTATAAGAAAAAATGAATAGTTAAAATTCTATTTTTTTTAGAAATTTGTTATTGGGATTTTTTTTTCTTTTTATGTTTGAGAATTCTAAAAAAAATTCAAATTCTACAATATTAAAATTCTAAAAAATTCAGTTTTACTTAAAAATACACTAAAATATCTATTTTCACATAAAATTTTAATACAATTTAGAAATTTTATTGTGATTGAATAATTATACTGATGTAACATAAATTGATTTAAAAAAATTATATATTCGATTATTTTTATCTTACAAATGAAAGGGTTAAACTTTTCGATGAAAATGAAAACTATACATATGTAAGCACAATATTATCTTTGCATATGAGATGAATTATATTAGATTAATATAATTTTTAAAGGTTTTTTAAACACTTTATTGAAAATATTAATGCATATTTTTGTGAGCGTAATATAGTCAGTCAAAAGTTTTATAGAAATTGATATTTATATATAGAGAATAGATAATTAAAAGAGATGTTAGAGATAATTTGAAGATTTAAATACATAAGGATATGGTGATAATTTAGATATTTAATTGAAAAATGATAGAGTAGTCTTTACAATTTTTTATAAGGGTAAACTAGAAATTCAAATTTTTTTCATATTAAGGTACTTTTATTAGTAGTATAGATATAATATATTTCATAGTTTTAATCAATAAAAAAATCATTAATTTATTTTAAATTTTAAAAACTTGGTGTTATAATGCATATCATTAATACAACCACCAAACTAGTTGCACAATTGTCAAGGTCACGAAATTATCGACCCCTCTCTCTTAAGCTTTATAATTATGGCTTCAACTTATTTGAATCAAAATTATTTTTAAAGTCTTAGGTGGTGTTTGATAAAATTGAAAACTGAATACTGAAAATTGAATGCTGAATTTTAAGTGTCGAATGCTGAATTTTTTAATTCGCAGACTGTTTGGTATCAATTGAAATTTAAGTATTGAAATTAATCAAACTCTTTGACAAATATAAGACGCTACAGTCTAAAAATTATTATTATTCTAATTTTATCCTTCTATATAACCATTTCTCTGCAACTATCTTATTTCCATCTTATTTCAGTGGTAGTGGTGGCGACAATAATGGTGGTGGTGATGGCAGTAATGGTGGTAGTGGTGGAAACACTATGGTGGTGGTGTCGGTGATGGTAGTGGTGGTGGCTATGGCAGTAGTAGTGGTAGTGGTAGTACTTGTGGCACAATGGTGGTGGTGGTGGTGACGACAATGGTAGTGGTGATAGTGATTATATAGTGGTGGTGGGGGCGATGATATAATGGTAATGATGATGAAAATTACACAATAATAGTGACGATGGTGGTAATGATGACGATGATGGTGGTGGCACAATGGTAGTCGTGGTGGTAGTAATATTGGTAGTGGTGACAATGGTGGTGATGGTGGCGGTGGCACAATGATAGTAGTGGCAACAACGATAGTGATAGTGGTGATGACGACGACTTAATAGTGGTGGTGACGGTGGTACACCAGTGGTGGTGGTGGTGGCGATGACACAATGATGATGAGAGTATATTTGTCCATTATGAGAAATTAATAAAATCTTTATTGACCAATATTTTCAGAATTAAGTGAGAAGTAGGTGGTTTGCTATTTAAAATTTTAGTTTATTTTTAAGAAGTGTTTTAAATATTAAGTAGTATGAATTTTATGTTATCAAATGAGTTTAATTTATTAAGTGCTTAAATTATTCAGTTTTAACCCTTAAGTAGTGTTATTAAAAAGTGTGCGCTCAATATTTTCCAACTTACGTAACCCTTTAAATGGTTTAATGAAAGTGATCATGTATATCATCCACTGAAAACTTGGTAGACTAATGGTTATCATAATTGAAAACTAAAAAATTGAGCAGAGAAAATAATTAAAAAAAAATTCCTCCATAAATCCTACTTTCTCCTAATTTAGAATTATTCAACAGTCACACATATGTATACTCCAATTGAATTACTTTCATGCGATTTATATAACTACTTCTAATTTTTTAGATAACTATCTCACATTTAAATTTTTTATTAACTAGTAGGTTTTAATTTTCTTAAAACATCAATTTAGTATATTAATATTGGAATAAAATTAAAGCAGATCTAACGATAAGAGTAGAAGTAGAAGCGGTGATCATGAGATATTATAAATTCTATGCATCGTACGAGATTACCGATAGTAAAGATATAAGACACACATTTCACACAACATTACCATATTTATCCAATACAATTAAACACTAGGGTTAATTACACAAGAGGTTCCCAAAATATAGGGTTTGACTTAATTTGATCCATAATATTTCAATTGTATTATCTTGATCACTTAAATATTGAATATATTTCTATATGGTCCCCCAAACAGATAACATTTAAATTGCTAACTGTTTTTGATTATGAACTTATCACGTAATACTTAAATATGAGCAAAAAAATAATTTGGATAACACTTGACCAAATTTTGGTCAAAGAGTTATTCAAATTATACAATTTGGTTATAAATTAATTCAAATTTTGGTCAATAGCCACCTATATTACACATTTTTTGTTAAGAGCTACATAAATTATTTATTAACCATATTTATGTATCATGCGATAAATTTATGATTAAAAATCGTTAGTAATTTAGATATTGTCATTTTGAAGGATCACATATGAATATATTTAATATTTTAAGAACTAAAATGATACAATTAAAATATTAAAGATTAAAATAAGAAAAATTCTATAATTCGGAGACGTTCAATGCAAATAATCCTAAATACTATTATTGAAAAATAAATAAATAAAGGAAAGCCAAAAAAAAAGAAAAAAAGTGATTAAAAAAAAAGAAGAGGAAAATTGTGTCGTCGTCAATAAGTCCAAATAATTTGCCGACCTGTTTCACTTACTCATATTCGCATGCCTATCCAGTCTCTTTATTCTCATTCGGCCACACACATAGGCGTTGAACACATACTCGGTGGTGCCCTGCGTTGAAATGGATGAACATTGTGTAAGGAAACCAGAGCAGACGATGATTTCGGCGGAGGAAGCTCTCGATATAGTGTTGAGAGTGGCTCAGCGTCTGCCACCAGTGACTTTGCCACTTCACGAAGCTCTAGGCAAGATCTTGGCCGAGGACATTAGAGCCCCTGACCCTCTTCCTCCTTACCCTGCTTCAGTCAAGGTCTTTCTCATTCTCTATCTACCTCTACTTATATTACGTGTATATATTTCTACTTAGGTACGGTTATACAGAATCACCCTCCCACCCTGTCTTTTCGACATTATATAGTAAACCACCCATTAAATCTTCATCCCACCCCTTTATCATTTAAAAATATCATTTAATGGGTTGATGAGTTGTTAAATGGACAGTGATGGTGGGAATGGTTATGTAACTCAGAGGAAATTTGATTGGGATAACTTATTAAATGAGTCAAAATTGTAGGAAATTAGAAAATAGGGAGTGAAGACTTCCAAAACCTCTATTCCTAGTTTGATTCTTCTTTGTAAGAATGCAGCCGGGACCAATTTGATGCACAAGATATACAAACCATCTTCTCCTTTTCTGTTTTCCTTCCTCATTTTCCCTCTTTTTACCCCCAGTCACTTAGTAAATTAGAGAACTATATAACGTTTTAGGGTGATTAGAGCTGGTTTTTTTTTTTAATACATTGAAATAAGTGGGGCATAGTTAATTGGGGGGGGGGGGGGGGGGCAGGGGAAAGGTGGTTACAAGAGACATTTGATAGAGTGTGATGGGAGGAAACCTTTAATTAAATTATAAGTAATTAGAAATTACGAAAGGATGGTTTGTCAATCCCTATTCCTACGAAATTGATTGTCTTTTATATGTGGTAGATACACACTTATTAATAGAATAATACTCAATTATTGCTTATGTGTTATTTGAGCTATTTTAATCCAGTATGTTTAGTTTTAGTACTTATTGAGAATATTGGTGAATACGGATGGAATATGCATGGTTCGTGAAACAACAATTTGAGTATCATATTGTGGAAGTGTTTGGGATGCTTCAGTGCTTCACTAATTAAAATCAGGGGATGTGTTGTTGTTTTCTTAAATTTTTTGGATGTTTTTTCATGAAGAGCTTAGTAAATATTCAACTGCTTCACAATTATTCTGTTTCATGAAAACTTGGGGGGATTTTCTTAGTTGAATTGGCTGACTGGATGGAATCCTTGATTGTTTGTGGGTAGAATAGGGGAAGATAATGCAGGGCTGAGAGGAGAGGAGGAGAGAGATAGCACTACAAAATACAATATGGGGCATTTGTTGGATTTTTTGAATTTTCAGCCGGGACGATGATGCAAGAAATGGTAGGTGGGGGAAAGGAGAAAGTGCACAGGGACACGGTGCTTTGATTCATCGGATTAGCAGATGATTATTTTTGGCCCAAGAGTTGGAAATGGCAATGTGGATTGTCGCTAGCATTAAAGTGGCAATTGGCGACCCACAAAGTTGTGTAGAATAAAGTTTGACTTCAATAGATCGTGTTCTTGCCTATGTCGTGCTTGGCATGGATGGCGTGCTCATGAATTGTGAAAATTGTATCAGCAATCATGCGCTATGAATTTTTATATTCGTTGTTCTTAGGGTGCAATGCAGGTCACTACCCAATTTGATTTTAATTGTACTAGTTGTTGCACATGTGAGTTGCACATGGGACATTTTGAATTATAATTTTATTTTTATATTTGTTAAAGAGGGGTTTAGATACACAATAAAACCAAGCCAACAACTATTGTAATATAACTTTAATATTATGATATTTAAATGCTAGTAACCCAATAGTCAAGATTATTTATCTAAAACTTAAATAGTAGCCAACAATAAAATAATTATGATGTAACAATGTTATTAATTACAGAAAAGTAGGATAGACATTAGTTAGTTTGTTAAGGTTATTTTGGTCTAACAAATGTTGTTCACTTTTCTTGACATTTTGGTCTAGTTGGTGCATACGTGCGTTGCACGTGAACCATTTTAAAATATATTATATATTGCACCTAAGTAAACATTGACGATTAAACAATGGAATGAGCCTTATATCCTGGCCCATATTAGCAGTACCAACTCCTGCGAGTCTATCACATCTAAATGGTTTGTGTTCCACAATTTCGCCATCTTCTCATTCTATTGTTGCCAGAGTACATATCCTCGTCGAAATAAGTGTAATATTAGGTGTTAAAGACCACATGTTTTATGATAAAATATGAAGATTTTTGTGGTTGCCTTGTTTTTTCATACATTATGTTAAACAAGTAACAAATATGAAGCTGTATTTTCCTTGGATTTTTTCCTAAATTTTATTTGCAATCTAGCATCTTGACACACACTACAATCAAAGCAGACGACTTTGATGAGTTGGATTAAAAAAAAGAGGAAAAAATCAATGCCAAACCTAGTGTCTTAGAATACTAGACAACTTATAATTCCCGAAGTCCTCTATATTATACTCAAATGAGTGTGTATATGATTTTCAATGAAAATGCAGCCAATCATGAAGAATGAAAAGGGGGGGGGGGGAGGAGAGAGAGAGGGAGTAGGAAGTTTTTTAAATTGAAAATAATTAAACTGTCAATCAAATTAAGCTCAGTATTTTTTACAGCCTAAATTGTGTATTGAAAACAAATAGTATATCTTGTAACCAAATGGATAACCTATAGCCAAAAAAAAAAAAATACTAAAATGAAGTACAACATGAATAATAACCTATAAAACTCTTTGATATTTAACCTAAACATAAACTAATAAATGAGTTCATGAAGCAATTTATGGTTTTTAGTTTAAAACAAAAGAAAATCAAATAATCCTGGGTTTGATAGTCATTGTGGTCCAATAATGCAACATTTGAAGCAACCACTTGTGATGGCAACATTGCTTGACTGCAAACACCCCACACCATATTACACTGTACACACGAAAAACTACACAACAGGATAGCATAAGAAATTTTAGATAAAAGGCTTCTAAATGTACAAAGACTACTACAGAATTATGGTTCCTTACCATACTATAAGTGCCTTGCAAAAGTTTGTGTTATCAACCATCGATTGCTAAATATTTGAGAACAGGAAAGACCAAGAATAGCAAAAAAATGTTCAAGAACCTCAAAGAAAATACATAAATAAAATCAAGATGGTTAGAATGTCAGAAGTCATTATAACAAACCTCAAAGCAATTAGTCGTTCAATTAAAAAGTCATTCGATAATAACTAAAAATATTAGCGGTTGAATCTCAATGCCAGTGGAGATTTGTTATTTATAACCCAGAGGAAGAAAAACATAGTAGAAGAAAGAGACTAAAAAAACTTAATTGATAAAATGATCGGTGGATCATGGATGTTAACAATGTTGACGGGGAGAAGAGAATAGGGCCGTGTGCTTTGTAGCAAGAACAAGAACAAGAACAAAGGAGAAGACGAAATAAAAGAAAGGAAGAGAGAGAAAATATAGCTTATCAGTTGGTTGAGTAGTGCACAAGAAAATAGGAGAATAATAGAGTTTGATTTAACAATTTTGTTTATATATTTAATGCATCTAATGATGTCAATAATTAGTGTTGGAATAACAAAAGTTCAAATAGTTACAGAGTAGCTTTAGTGCCTGAAAACTATTGAGATGATTTTTGGTTACATTCATAACATGATCTAAAGTTCACTTTATAACTTCATGCCAAGGAAGATTGGTTAAGGAATTAGTTTTTTTTATTAAGATTATTGTAGTCAATTAAAATCAGATTTAGATCATATTTATTATATTTATAAAAAAGATAATCAAAAGGCAAACAATGAATTTGTTAATTAAATTAATGCAACCAATAAATATATGAAAACTCTTGAAACAAGGATAAAGTAGACATTATAGAATTATTAAAGGGCAAATAAGAAAATTAAAAAGTTTTTCTCCTTAAGCCACTTTTAGAAGTAGTATAGATTAAGAAATTCTCTAATACTCTTTTTGCAAGAAGATTCATAACTCCATTCTTGCTTGACCTAGAAACTAGATGATAATGCCCGATCTTAGGATATGGAACAAAAGAGTTTTCTTGTCCCCTTTTTCGGGTTGTGGCAAAATGCTTTTTCTCTTTTCCCCTCAACCCCCTATACAAAAGTCCAAAAGACTAATAAAGAAAAAATAACAAAAAAGTTTATCTTAGCTTGGTAATTCAAATGCTTTGATTCGGTGGGAGTTTATGACTTCAAAAATTCCTGACATTTTACGGTTATATATTTGCAGGATGGCTATGCTGTAGTTGCCTTAGATGGGCATGGTGAATATCCCATTATTGTTGAATCCAGAGCCGGAAATGATGGAGTTGGTGTGACCATAACTCCTGGAACTGTTGCCTATGTGACTACTGGAGGCAAGTCGATTATATTCAATTTGTATACTTGTTGGGAGACTATCTCAGTAGTGGTAGCTTTTGTATAAACATGCAAGGTTTGTCACTAGAAAATTATGTCTATCTTATGCAAAATTCATTTTACCCCCATTGTTTCGAGTTCTAGCACTTTGCCCCTTGTGTTCTAAAATGACCTCGTACCCAACATATGGCTTTGGACTAATGTGAACAGTTGAATTGGTTAATAGAAAATGTAAAGTGACTTTTTTGCCCTTGTACATATATACTGAACTATTTTGTCAGTTGAAGCTCCCACTCTTAATCCTTCCTTTTAGATATATTCAACAATATCTGTTCCAAACTCCCAAATTCATGAATTAATTTCTGTGAAGATTTCTCATTGGTACTGGATTAGCTCTATATAGGCATTGATGGGTGTGGTGGTTGTTTTGGGGGTTGTAGGATATATGGGTGATGCGTGGTTGCGATGGAGCAAAAGTGGATGGTAGTGCATTGGTGTTGTGGGGTGGAACAATGATGGAAGGTGATTGGGTGTTGCAAGGCAAAGGAAAGGTGAATGTGATGGTTGATGTGAGGGTGATTGTGGTGTTGGGTCTGGTGCTTTTGGTGGTTGGGTGACGCTGGAGTGGATAAGTGATGGTGAGGGATGTTGCGTGGGTGCCGCATGGCTAGTGTGATGATGAGTAGTGTTGTAGGGGTGCTATGGATGGTGATTTATTGGCTCAATGTAGTTGCAGCTGTCATGGTAGTGGCCATGGTGGTTGAGGTTTCTGTTGGGCAGGGAGGGAGGAGAGTGGGCTGGAGTGGATAAGTTATGGTGAGGGGTGTTGCGTGGGTGCTGCATGGCTGGTGTGACGACAAGTAGAGTTGTAGGGGTGCTATGGATGGTGATTTATTGGCTCAATGTAGCTGCGGCTGTCGTGGTAGTGGCCATGGTGGTGGGGGTTTTTGTTGGGCAGTGAAGGGGGAGAGTGGGAGGCCGGGTAGGTGGGCAAAGAAGATGAAATAGGCGGTGAGAAGGTAAACAAGGGCATATTTACCCTTTTTCATTGACAGTTGTCTTTGACTGAAATTTTTCATAATTCAACTCTCCATTTAAGTGCATGTATCACAGCTCTCGTCAATTTGAACACCATTTGTAAGGGTAGCACTTTAGTCTAAAACCACTTGTGGGTATTTTTAAGCCATAATGGGGTAAAGAGCTAGAACTCTAAACCACAAGGGGGTAAAATAGATTTTGCCTGCTTATGCGTCAGTTCATTTGAATGTCAAATAATTATATCTTTGAGCATGAGTAAAATTAAAAGCACATCTATAAACTTTTTTGTTCAATCATCGTTGTGGATATTTGATGCAAAGTCACAAAATAAAAAGAAACTAGTACAGCATAAAAAAAAAGCATTTAGTTGTTAAGTAGTCAATTTAATCGAAGTTATGCTAAACCTAACGCCATGTATAATATTGGGTCATTTTGTTTTTTTTTAAATTTGGAATTGGAATGTACCATGTTCTGTGAATTATTTAAGGCAGTGTTTGGGATGACTTATTAAATTCAAAAGTACTTCTTAAATAATTACTTTTTAAAAAACACTTAATTAAAAAATACTTTTTTCCATAAGCATCGTTTGGATGCTCATTAAAAAAAGTACTTAAATAAAAATAATTTTACAAAAATTATGTTTGGATGCTCAATTAAAAAAGTATTTATTTGTATCACAATTACAAATATACCCTTCAATAAAAAAATTAAATAACACCTAATCAGGGAGACGTATGTACCTTACCCCTCGATGCAATCTAATTACATAAAATAAGTAAAGAAAAGCAAAAATGCATGATTAGTACAATGAATAAATAAAAAATAAATTATCCTAAACATGTAGCCTTTTAAATTCCTAAGAGATCAGCTGATAGAGGATAGGCCAGTTAAATAAGAGATCAGCTGAATTGAAAGAGCTGGGCGGTGCAGTAGTTGATCAGCTGAAGTTGGCAGCCAATAAGGATGTAGCAAACTCCAACTGAAGGAGAAGATCAGCTGGAGTGTTAAGACACCAGCTGACGGACTCCTACCGAAATAAAACTCAGGATTCTAGTTGAAGGAAAGAGCTCCAGCTGAACAGTCCAGCTGACCTGTGACGTGAACAGTGCAATGAAAGCTGCTGTCTGCATTGATGCCTGCCGAGAACCCAACTGAAGGAGAACCAATCAGACTGCTGAGCTACTCTAGCTATGTGAATCCGGCTGAAACAGAAAAGCAGTTCCAGCTGCAGCAAAAAGGAGTCCATCTGAAGCAGTTGAAGCAGATGAAGGCAGACAGCTGAGAATCCAGCTGAAACAGCTACAGTGGCTGAACAGCAGTCCAGATGAAGTGCAGACAGCAGCAATCAATTTGAGTTTGCCAGTCGGAGGACATTACCAGTTGACCCACTTAATTCGAATAACTGCTATAATGGAAGAATGAACGTCGAGCCTGCTGAGAATCCAGCTGAAACAGCTACAGTGGCTGAACAGCAGTCCAGATGAAGCGCAGACAGCAGCAATCAATTTGAGTTTGCCAGTCGGAGGACATTACCAGTTGACCCACTTAATTCGAATAACTGCTATAATGGAAGAATGAACGTCGAGCCTTCATCATTAATTTCTCCTGTAGGATTGGCCATTCCATTCCTTTATCATCTGGAAACCAGTATGATTTAAGTACGAGCATTCCGTAACAATGGAAACATCCCATGGACCTGTGGAGTGGGATCTTGACTTAGATGTTGGGTTCTTAGGTTTTCGTGGATCACGAGGAATTATTGAATTCCTTATTAACTTTGGGGCCCGTGGTCAGCACCTACAGGGATTTAGAAGCAATTAAAAATCCATCTGATGAGGTACAACAATTTAGACACGAAATATAGAGCTCCTGAAACATTTACCTAGCATAAAAAAGCATGTATGCCCCTCTGGTCAAGACCTCTTCCAGTTCCACCGCTTGTACCTACACAACCATCACAAGAATTTGGTTCAAAGCTTTGAGAGAATGACATAAATCCCCTGTTCAGTAGCTCAATACATAAATATGAAAGGAAGTAGGGCAGACAAAAGTTGCCTTAATATATCCCTAATCGAAAAACTTGTTTAAATGTGCAAATTGAAGGTAGAAAGAACATACTCTACTATCATCAATCTTGAACCATTTGTTCTGAATATTCTTAACATAGCACACATAGTGACCAGAAAACGCAGCGTTCATGACATCCAAGTGAACTACCACTCCATAAAGTCTGTGCAGTATAACTGCCTGAATACATGGGCTAGAACCTATGTCTGAGCAGGGGTTTGAATCAATATATTCAATTCATAAAGCCTACACTGACAACATTTTTCAAAAGATTAACAAATAAATACAAGACTGGTTTCATGTAATACATTTTCTGACTTTCAAGCTATTCAAAGGAAAAGCAAGCATCATAATTTCAATACTAACCATCATGCTCCACAAAATATAATTTTTTTGTTCAAATTCAGTTGCAATTTCTTTTTGTATTAAGCAATGTATTTTTTTTATTTTTAGTTTTGCAAAAGGATGCCCTACAACATAACACCACTATTAGGGATTGAATTGAAATTCCAAAAAAATTGCAATTGAGTTTCCATTATTTTCAAGTCTTTTAGGGCAATATCATTGCTTAACCTCACAACCATCTTCTTAACAGGTGATCTCTCTCTTTCACCCATCACCCCAAACCACAAAGCAACAGGGATGCCTAGTAAAGCATTATTTGGTGGGACTTGTGTAGTGTTTAGCAGGGTTACCCACTGCAAAGACTACTCATGACTAAAAAAATTAGCCACAAGGTTTGCATAGAGTCCAATACATCCAGATAGCTACTGCTCCATCTTTATAAGGTCCCTTTTCCCTCAAACATGAGAGCAACTTTCAACAACTTATCCAGTAATGATCTAATTGGAGAAAGAAAAATGAAAAAGACACCAAACTGGCAAGACAAGAAGCAATTATCATCCAAACTTGTGAACAAATCGAACACATTTTATCAAACACCTTGCATGCATATTCATGGATATATAATCTGAAAAAAATCAAAAAAAGACAATCTAAAAACAAACAAAATAAAGGCAAACATCAAAATAAAAACCGAACAGAAGATATCTCGGTGAATGCTACGGTATCCACCTCCATCAAGGAATTAATATGTTCATCATCCATTGCAACATCAGATTTCACATCAACCATCGATGAGAGAGAAGGCTGCTCCGACGTCATCAATGGAACTCTCTGGCGTCGTCAATGGTCGTCGAGAAGATAGAAGAAAGTCCGGTGGACGATGGTTACACATCGACACAGCTCCGATGGTATTGGGAGACATCGGAGGAGTGAGGATGAGAGAAGTGTTTTATTTAAAAACGATTATCAAGAGTAAAAGTTAATTTTTTTAACTTCTAGTTAATAACTTATTTAAGTGTTAAAATTGCTTTTACTTATTAAAAAGTGTTTTTGAAAAATTTATCCAAACATTACTTTTTGTTAAAAGTACTTATAATAAGTCAAAATTTTAAAAAAAAACTTTTTTTAAGCTATCCCAAACACTCTAAATCTTGAATGACATTGTTAGATTGCTTGAAATAATGCATATAGGAGGTCGCTCATATGACTTGATTTCCTTTTAAAATCTACATAGTTCTGTTGGAATTGGTTTGAATTTATTGATAGTTGAAATGGGATTTCATGCTAAGAGCACTTTTTGCTTAGTTAAAAGTATGGTTTGATATACTTCCTATAAGTTTCACAATAATTGCTTTCAGATTTGTAACGCCCAAGTGGTCAAGATCACATTTCATATTTAAATTATCTACGACATAGTTGTAAAAATCGGTTGTTACGGGAATAATGGTCGAACGGGACATAACGACTGTTACAGAAGGTATAGGTAGCCTCCGATTCCGTTACACCTCGATTTAATTGAGAGAAAAATTTTCACACCCATAACGGCCGCTACAACGACGTAATGGCATTACATGCCCGTTATTCCACCGTAAAGGCCATTAAGCATCTGGGTCCTGACACATGATGGGGACAAATATCAACACCCTTATAATGTTTATAAAAGGCAAGGAAAAGATGTTTTCAATGCTCAAGCTTTAATTTGACACATGTTGGATGATGCGGAGCCTACTTGGGAGCTTGCATAAGCATAAATGGAGTATTATTTTTAGTTGTTTTGAGTTAGTTTGGTAGTATTAGTGTTTTATGTGATTTTTTTATATTTTTTAGAGTTAGGGGTATTTTTATAATTTAAAGAATTTCTGGAGCAGATCATATTTTTTGGGTCAAATTCTAGTGTTGAATATTCTAGAATTTAAAGTCCTAGTTCTATTTAATTTTAGTTTTCTAATTTTTTGGGACCTAAAATTTTTTGAGCCCTCGAGACTTTGGAATCCTAATCTTTTGGGATTAGGAGTACTTAGAACTCTATTTATAGTTAATGATATTTTTAATAAAAGAGAGATATTTCAGAAGTTTCAACAATTATATGCTTATTGAGTTGTGTGATGCAATTCTAACCCCTAGGTGTGATGCCTAAAGAAGCCTAGGAGTGATTCTTAGTCAAAATTATTATTCACGTTAGTGTTCACAGCCCCATTACTGTTCACAACCCCTATTTTTATTTCACAAAGTTGTCCTACATCAATCTTGGTATCAGAGTAAGGATCTGACATGTCTACGTGTTCGAAAAGATCGTTTCGTAGGCGATTGACGGATGGACAACGAGATGAGATGCTTTTTCGAATTTGGGAGCAACTTAATAATATCTCAATTTGATTAAGTGATGTAGAATCTCAAAACACTCGACCTAATGGTGGCGCAATGTCTGATGTACAAGGAGCAAATTCTGCAGGCGGTAATAATGGAGGGAATCATGAGAATCAAGAGAATCTAAATGCAGACTAGCAGATAAATCCTCCCCAAACATAACAATTTAGGGTTCCTTGAGGTCATCAATC